CCAAAACTGGCTTGTATGCGGACAAGTGAAAGTGTGTGTGTTTGTGTATGTGTAAACACAGCATGTCCATTTTGTCAGGAATGTTGTTTATGTGTTTCAGTTTATTTTCTAAGCCCGTAATTGATAACATTGACAGCCATCCTGTACGCATGGCCGTTCATTGGAGGAAGAACTCGGATATTTTCTTAAATGAAAGCGAGCGTTTGCTACGATGAAAGATGGCTTTGTTGCAGATATGTCAAGTTGACTGAGAACTACTTTTGTAATTGATGTAGAAGCATTTAAGACCTTTATTATTATTAACATTTTAGAGAATTTTTCATTGTGTATGTCTCAAAAGTTTGACTTACTAACTCAAACTTTTGAGAAGATAACCTTTAATTGAGAAAACAGACTGAATTTCTGACTTAAAGATGCAAAAAAAGGTTTTGTTTTGTTTTTCAGATTAACATTGAATACCTGAGATGTGGTTGAGTAAAGCTACGGATGCACCGCGGTAAACCTTTGCCATATTTTTGTTCGCTAAATGTTCAAAGATGAAGTGTGATGAAGAGGTTTTAACCTTTAGAATAGTTCAGCCATTTTTCTTAATGGCTATTTCTTTGTTTCATTGACACAAAAGGGGGCTACTGAAAACAAAAACGAGCAAAAATGGGAAATATTTCTGTATCCGCATCGGCCCAGAAATTCACCATCTGTGCACAGATCAAAACGCCTCAAAATTTCACTACCCGGGTAAATGTGTGTTACTTTTCACACTATGACAAATTCATTTGGGAGTAATGTTCGGATTTGAGCTATCCTATTGCGTATTTATTTTTTTTTAAGTACAGCTAAACACTTTATTTAATTCTCACATGATAAATAAATAGCACCTTATGAAATAAACTCAGTCTATCTCCCATTGTGTTCAAACGTCCCGTGATGACAGATGATATAACCAGCCCGAAACAATAACACACATGGTTATCATTCTGCAGCCCCATCCTCTCACTTTCCGCGACCCTGCTTGGACAAAGGGAAGTGTCAACACCACTTCTCTAACTGCACAATTAACATGCAAATGAGCTGAGTCGCTAATGGCAATGGCAAAGCGCTCTTATGATGGAAATATGCTTTCTGCTTTGGCAGTATGGGTTAAACATTAGTCTAAGGAATCAGCTGAGGACATTAGGGCAGAGGCCTCAGAAGCTTCCCTCAGGGCAGAAAGGGAGAAAGATGGAGGTAAACTCAGAGAGGGAACGGACTTTGCACCTGCTTCAATATGACTATGACACACACACACACTGAGCATAACCAGGCGGTTATAATCAGCCTCGTTCAGGCTGTCAGCTCGGTCAATAACTTATCCCCTCAACTGCTTTTGTTCTAGCAGCAGCTCGGCTGATGCGGCCACTGCCCCTTATTCAACTAAAATTTATTTTCAATTGCTGCCCTCAGGCAGCAGCTCACTGACCGACCAAGTAAACAAACCAGAAGACCACTTCACATTCATACACTTCCACACAGGCAGGACTCTTCACACTCAATGCAACAGCAGTCTGTGGCTGCCAAATGACATGTTTATACAAACTCTGGAGTTATAAAAGCCTTAAATGCCCCTACTGTTTGTGCATATCTGACACCCCCCCCCCCCCCCCCCTAAAACAACCCTTATATTTGCAGCTTTGTAAAACTATATCTGTGATGGAGCTGGCAAGCAGCTGTCGGGGTGTTTTAATTAAAACAACTTTGCGGATTTTCAGATTTGGAGGTTGGAGCTTTGTCACAGGGCCAGCAAGTGAGGCTGACAGTATTTGTTGCCTTGTTAGCATCCATGTTTAAGAATGGAGAAAAAAGGCCTCTCATTGTGTGTGTGTGTGTGTGTGTGTGTGTGTGTGTGTGTGTGTGTGTGTGTGTGTGTGTGTGTGTGTGTGTGTGTGTGTGTGTGTGTGCAGTGTTTCTCTAAGTGATAAACCTCGAGTGGCTCGCAGTAACAGGTGTGTGCTCTGTAAAGGGCCAGTCATTTGTCAAGCCTCATGAAAAGAAGAGCTGATGGCCACGAGTCCATCCTATGATTGCTGACCAGCCTGCAAACAAAAACACAAATAGTTTCTGTAGAAATGATAGATTTGATCTCACAGCCTCTTTCACGTGCTATATAAATATATATGCATCTCATTTTTTAGAGTTCATAGCTTTCTTTGTAAGTATTTTTGGTATTTTCCATATAATTTCTGCAATAAACACCTTTTTCACTTCTAATGCATTAATGCTGCTTTAAGGATGTTATGTTATTTGTATTTCACTATTCGCACACTCTCTAAGTTTGATGTTTGCTGCAGAACTGACCAAAATCAGCTGTCCAACAACCTTCTCTGGTTTAACTGCCTCTGGTATAACAAATAGGTGCTCAAATACATAAAATGTCCAAATTTGAAAGCCGTTTTTATTTTTCCAGTTGAGTTTTTCGGTCCTTAACATTATCAGTTCTTCTTTTTAGTTTTGCGTTTGTGTTGATGTTGTTATTGTTGTTGTGTTGCATTATTATCCTCTTCTCTCCTCCTGTTTTTGCCTTAATGAAAAAGACAAATCTGAATATCAGTGGGATTTATTTAAAACAAAACTAAAAGTCTCAGTCTAATGAGGATAATTTTTGTGAGCCCTGCCAGGAAGATAAGCCCCTCTGTTAGATAAACACAGAAAACCTGTAATTCACTCGCTGCTTGCAAGTTAGTTTTTCTGTTTACCTTTCCAGCTTTCAGAAGAATAAGAGGGAAATCTTCCATTTCAGTGTGCAGGCCAAAGGCAGGAAGATGCTTCTGTTGCCATATGATCGACATATCAGAGCAGGACGTACACTTCCAAAATTAAGCTGGTTTGCATTCCTCTCTTTAACACGGATGTGTCTTGTGCACGCCATTTGCATGTGCATGATTGTTTTGTGCGTTATTTTGTGGCTTACTTACAAATGCTCTCCCTCTCTGGTAGCAGCAGAAGCAGCAGTTGTCTCTGCTTTGCTCGGCTCCTAATTAGCCAGAATTAAGAAGTATTTCTCGGCCCATTGAAGGGTCTATTTCCTTTGAAACCAGAGCATAATAAACCTTAAGTAATTACCCCAACTCATGACTATTAACTCGCAAACCGCCAGCTTCCCTTGACAACATCCTCCTCAGTGTTGTGTGGTTAAAAGGCCATTGCAGCTACCCAGCTATTTACATCCCATCTGGCAGCCTGCGAGGGACAGACAGGCTATACTCATTCCTAAAGACAAAAAGAAGAAGAAGAAGAAGCGTAAAATGAACTCTTTCACTCTTTCTCGACTTAGCCACCAAACTTGTGTTTTCTTCCCTCCAAATAAGTTACAAAAGGGCTTCGTCTCCTTTTCTCTTTCTGTCTTTCTTTACTTTTTTAATCCACACACTCATTTGCATACGGCGAGGCCGAGGAGGGGGCCTGAATGTATAATCTTCTACATTTAGAAGCCTGTAATCCCGACGCCTCTCTGTGATGTGATTTTCTCCTCTCGGTCCCCCATGAACAATTAACTTGTAATCTCCACAAACATACGTGCATTCTGTCGCTGCAGAGATGAGACGGAGAAACACCCAAGGGACCCGGCGGACAAACTGCTCTGCGCTCCCCAAGGCGGATCACTTTCTAGCTGCTACAGGGACCAATTCAGCTGAGCTCCATTAGGCTGCAGCTCAGTGCCTTATTTCCCTCTCGTTTCTCCCTTTTCCTAACATTTGCGCGAATCCTAAATAAATGATGCATTCGTGTTATTGTTCAGACGTGTATGCCCCGAGAAGAAGGTGACATGACTTCAAAACTTTGGTTAATTTTAGAACAGTTCTAAAACATGAATTTCATCAACCAGCAAAATGTTTAATGTCCTGCTGCGTAATTTCAGCAGTTATTCTAGGATCATTCAAAGGAGAAAAATATCAGATGCTAATTTTCAGCTTTCCTTAGAAATCTTTACTATAAAATAGCAAATGTTCATTTATCTATAAATCTCTGCGTTTTGTTGATTTCAATGTAGTCTGTTTTAAATAAGCAGAAAAATCCGGGGTCTTAAAAAAAGAACAAATAATGATGAGAAGTGTAAAAGAAAAAACGCGCTGAGGTGTTTTTGTCTGAGGCCTTGAAATGTTTATAATCATTGCGCAATAATTATTATTTAAAACAAGATTCGTTTTTTTTTAATGTGCAATGATTACATATATGTGGGCAAAATAAAATATTTAAAGAAGCACAGCTTCGTATTTATCTTAAGATTTTGTCTGAAACTACCAAAATTAATTAAAGAAATAAAAAGTAAAACGGACTTAAACTTCCGGGGGTTTAATTCTTATATGATAGAAAAAAATGTCGTTTCGATGATTTGGTGAGTATTTAAAAGAAACAGAGGAATAAATTGGGTATGATTCATAATTCCAGTTTTATTGAAATTTCATCCAGTGACGCTGGGCGATAATAAATATTTCATCAGTCATCAACAATGTACAAAAATAAAGACACGGGGTCTCTGGGCATAACAAATTCATTTCAGCAAAAACAATCATGCTGTGATAATTACACCATCATGCAAAAAAACAAAAAACAAAGTTAAAATCAAAATAGAAATCAATAGAAATCAGGGCACAAATCGACACACAGTGAGCCACACGATTAAAATAAATCTTAAAAAAATTTAAAACAAATTTCCGTGGTGGCAGAATCGTTTTAGCCAAACACAAACATGTTGTTATTTATTTTTTACATAGAACTCAAGTTTAAAATCCTTGGTACAAGGCACAGAGCATTCTTCGTTTTCACAAAATGACGCTTGATATATTTAAAAAAAATTTAAAAAAAGAAAAAGAAAGAAGCAAAATTAAAATGTTCATGCTGCCTCCTTCACCTTTCACAATGTCATGTGCAACGAAGACTCAGTTAAACACAGCAGGAGCGCGGTGTGTATTTTCTTTCCTTTTTTTTTTTTTTACCATCAACTGGCAAAAATCAGTAGTCTTTATATATATAGTCTAAGTCCTTGTTACAAGGAGGAAAAAGGCTTTTCTGTTATACGCCAAACAAGAAAACAGACTAAACAACAACATGCACCAGTGAGGCCAAATCCCCCCTCATGCCCTGAATTATCTATTTACAAACATCATTACATCTCTCAGTCTCTGCTGCTCATCAGACACACGGGCATCATTTCATCCCGTCTTTCCCCTCCCCTGAGAGTCTCGTGAGGCCGGTAGAGGTGATGGGGATGTGTGGAGGAGGCGGAGGCACCTGGCAGATGGTGCAGGGACACGGCAGCCCAGCCCAGTGTTGGAAACCGGAGCCCAGCTGCAGGGCCGAGGGCGCAGTTGGAGCCCCCTTCATCAGGGAATGGGGTGCTCTGATGGACGTGAGCCCCGGCAGCGCGCTGGACAGAGTGGAGGACGTGGAAGAAGACAGCGCGCTCCCGAGAAGAGGGTGCACCTGGTGAGCGGCAGCTGCTGCTGCAGCGGCGGCAGCGGCGGGACCTCCGGAGTGTCCGCCGGGGCCGCAGTGGAAGGCTGAGTGCTGCCCTCCGTATATCTCCCCTACCAGCCGCTTCATCTCGTCCAGGGAGCTGGTGAGCATCAGGATGTAGTTCCTGGCCAGAAGCAGCGTGGCGATCTTGGACAACTTCCTCACTGAGGGCCCGTGCGCGTAGGGCATCACCTCGCGTAGGCCGTCCATGGCCAGGTTGAGGTCGTGCATGCGCTTCCTCTCCCGGCCGTTAATCTTGAGACGGAGCTGGTACATTTCCTCCTCGGTGACTTGCTTCTTCAGTTTATACTTGTTGCTGCTGCTGCTGCTGCTGCTGCTACTGCTGCTGCTTCCCACCGACGCGGACTTTGCTTCTCCTGAGCGCAGGTGCTCGCCCCCGCTCATCTTCTGGCGCTGCTGCTCGCCGCTCTGCGTGGAGGAGGACACGGAGGAGCCAATGTGGTGATGATGGTGATGGTGATGCGGGTGGTGGTCACGGAGAAACATGCCGTCCATGTCCGGGGATGAGGCTCTGCTGCTTGGGCTGGAGTCTGAATTCATTTTATGAGTTTGCTTCCGAGGTTGTTGGGTAGGAGGTCGCTGCTGGCTTCCTCCCTCTCTCTCTCTCTCACTCTCACGTTCACTCTCTCCCCACACTCTCCCCTCTCAGCTTTTACTCCCTGCCTCTCCCTTTCTCTCTTTTTCCCGAAGCCTTTAGTCACTCTGGTCACCTGATGTTGCCTGTATCCCTCCTGTCCCGTGCTTCTGTCCTTATCACATCGGTTCCCACTTTGCGTCAGTGTCTGTCGACTTTCACTCTGCGTGTGTCTCTCTAACTCTGCGGTGAGGGGGACACTGATTGTGGGTATTTATACGCGCGGACAGACAAAAGCGGCTTTCCTATTCATAACGCCTAGTTAGGAAGATGACGTGCCCGTTAGAAAGGGGGCGGTGTGCTTTGACTGTCCCAGTGACCGCGGTGCGCAACCATTCACTGCCATTGTCAGAAAACTGTCGGGGGCACCGCGCTTCTCTCCTCTCCCCTCCACTTCTCTCGTGGAAGGGAAAGTTGCTCTTCCTGGAGAAACCGGTCAGTTTTCTTCCTTAGTGATTTTTACTGCACAAAGCACACGCGGTTTATTATGAGATCTTCCCATACTTTACGCACACACGCACCGCGATCACATCCCAAGAAAGAAGAAATAAATTTTGAAAAGAGAGCCGTTTAAAATTGTTGTCAAACGCAACTGCAGAGATCATGCTGCATTTTTGTAAAAGAAGAAAACCTCATCAGCCTCACACACACTCACACACACGCTGTTCACTTTGTATCGGACGGTCAAAATTTAAGCCAAAGTCTCCGAGGTTCCGCCGGTGGCCGCCTGAGGGAATGACGAGGAATGGGAAGGGAAATTGCTTTTCCCATTCAGCGGTTAGTGCTGCCGCAGGGGTGCAGGGCCTCCGCTGGGACGGAGGTAACATGCCGGCTCCGACTCTCGGCACTCTGCTGGCCATATGGCAGCATGCGGATGTCAGAGTTTACAAGGCTGTGCCTCATGGTCCAACATCTAGCTTCCATGTGCTGAAAGCACATTATTATTATTATTATTATTATTATTATTATTATTATTATTATTATCTTAAAATAAATACTACTGGAAAAACTGGAAAAACATTCAAACATTGAAATCATTTCAGCAATCAATTAAATTTCATTATAAGCTACTTAAAATACAATATGAGCCAAATACAAGCCATGCACACAAACCACGTCTAAAAAATTTTATACGACAAAATGGAAAGACATGCCAAACCACAGATGTGTCAAAAACAAAAGGGAAGAAAAACTACAAAATCTTAAAAACAGTCATAAAAATTCTGTATTGTCAACACGCAGTGAAAACATTCAAAACGTTAGTTTTTATCCACTGAAGCAAAAAGCTGATCTTTCAATGTGCATTAAAATATTGGGCGAATGGTGTAAATTGAGTCAGTATTGTCTATATTGAGCAGCTGAGAGTGCTCTCTCCACTCTGAAGAGTCTACTCCAGATCTGTTTTGTCGAGGTGGAGTGGGGGAACGGGCCACCAACAATAACATGTGGAAGTAACTGAAGCACTCTTCCTCTGACCAACCACCTCAGCATCCCTATCGCTCCATCTGTCTATCCGTGCCTCCATCCATCCATCCGTCTGCACTCTCACCCACCCAGCACTTCAAACCCCCAATAATAAAGTCTGCCTCAAACTCTGCTCCGTGCTTCATCCTTCACCAATGAGATCCCCCTGGTAGAACAGTAAAAATGTGTATTCACAGCCTCATTGTTGGCCCAGCAAAAGAGCCCCTCTCATAAAGGTGCTGCCAATGCAAAGAAAAGCGCTGGTCGGCTTTGCTCTCTCTTGGTGGCATTTGATAGTGTAAAGCTTTGAATACCAATTGCTTGAACTGGACATATGTGAATCCCCTGTAAGCCTACTAATCCTGTCCCCAAGTGTTTCTTTGTGTGTGGGGCAGCCTCGCACACCCAAGAGAAAGTGTTCCTAATCCGGCCAATGTGGAGAAATGTGTGAATGAGAGGGGCAGAGCAGGTCTGTTAGCATGTGTGTGTGTGTGTGTGTCAGATATCAATTTGTGCAGGAACACATGCTTTGCAAAGGGTATTTTTTTGCTTATGTATTTTAGTGTTTGTGAGTGTGTGTGTCCATCTGAGGCCTCTGATTCAACACCACCAGGACACTGGCCTAAATGAAGGCAGTTATTCACCGTTCCCCACACTACTGTCGCAGCAGGTCGCCCATAATGTGCTCTTTTCACTGCGTAAGCTCCTCGTTTTCCTTTTATTCCTCTGTTCGTATCTTTTTTTATCTCTCCCCCTCTCTCCTTCTCTCACACTCTTTCTCACTCTCTGTACTCCTTCTCACAAGATTCTGGTATAGGGTTGCTTCTTCTCTTGAAACCCTCTCACATTTTTTTTCTTCCTCTCTTTGAGAAGTGGCTCTCTGCCCTCTCACATCAGCTCTCTGGGCTGCAAAAGGACACAATCACAGGGACCCAAATTGAGCCAGCACTATTGCTTTTTTATCTTAGATGTCACCGTTTGAATGTTGTACATATACCATTCTGTAATGCATGTGTATTAGGTATCACAGGTTCACGCAACGTTGGGTCATGAGAAAATTGAGTGTTGCACATGTGTGCATGTAGACAGAGATGCCTTTAAATGACTGAGATATATAGAAACATTTCTGATGTGTCACCAAAGAGCAGGAGGTAGGAGGCCAGCTTAGATTACTGACCCCAAAAACACAAGATAGTAACACAGTTAAGTCCATAATAGGTCATTTACAGTTTTTTTATAATGTTTGCATGATGGTTTGGTGGTTAGCACCATCACCTTAAAGAAAGAAGGTCCCAGGTTTGAACCCATCAGCTGGCTGAGGGGCTTTCTATGTGGACTTTGCAAGTGACCTGTTGCTATTTACCTGTTCATCTTGCATCCTGCCTGGTGCACCTGGGATAGGATCCAGTAGAAGACGACAGACAACTAAAAGTTCAGAAGATCTTGTTTGTTATGATCTCTAAAGGCCCATAGAGTTTGAGTCAGATCCTCCATTTAAATGTAAAAACATCTGAAAAATAGCAACCAGTCTCCTCTTCATCTACCTCCTGGGAGGCTCCGGCTACTAGACCACCTCTACTAGTCTCAGGACAGTCCACAGTGACTGGAAGCTTCTCTCTGGTAGTTTGTGGTCAGCAGTGAGTGTCTGTGACACATGACTGGCTGAGTATCTCTTACCTTAAAGAACAATGACACACATACCTGAGACAATAAAGAAAGTAAAAGTCAGAGCCAAAGATAATAGCTGATGTCACTGGTATAAAAAAGAACTAAAAATTTTATGTGTTGAGTTCTCACATACTCTGAAATGAAGAACGGGAAAGATCGGCAGGAGTTAGACGTGTTTTGTCTCCTCATTTTGCCTCTTTGTGTTCTTTCTGCTTTAGTTCACATGGAGTAATCGTCTGTATATCAAACCATGCTTTACTTCAGTAAAGACTGCAAACACTTACCTGGTCTGTGGAGGTGGGCATATGAGTCTTCACTCTGTGACCTTACACATTTATTTATGTGTTGCAGGACCTCATTAGAAATCTTGTTATGGCTTTAAGAGATTAGAGCTTCACCTGGACTCTCCTGAAAGCCAAAATATATCATCATAAATAAGATGAAGCAGTTAACATTATTTTTCAAAAATCACCAAAATGTAACATTTACTGCTGAACAATTTTGTTAAAACGAACTGCTTGAGGCTACAAGACACTAACAATTAATTTGATTTAAAATTGTTTTAAAACCTTTTTCTTTGCTGGCATATTAACAAAAGTTGGGTTGTGTGTTTTATATTGTAGAATTTCTTTTTACTTCTAGAGTTTGTCTTTTGTGCCATCTCTTCTGTATCTGATGCTAACTTTCACTTTAAAGGACTATCAAAGGAGTAAAATGTGACAGTATCTGGCATTGGTTCATGCCGCATACTTTAACAAATTAACAAAAAAACAGAAATCCGACAGTAACTTTAAATAAATAAAAATTCAATTATATATTAGTTACTGATGGTTGAAATATAATTGCTCACACAAACCTAAAAATGTATTGCAGTTGTTGCTGAGAGTTATTCTGACTTTATTTATTATGGAACTCCATTAACATCTATATAACAGTGAGAACAGAAACCTTGAGCCGTTCATTTGTAGCAATCAAGTAACTGTATGCTCACTGTCTACTTCATAAGTTACACCTTGCTAGTACTGTGTTGGACTGCCATAATTCTTTGATACCATTTGAGCACAGTGAACTCATCATTGTGTTCAAGAAACCAGTTTGAGATGATCTGATCTTTATGACATAGCGAGTTTTCCTGCTGGAAGATGCTATCAGAAGATGGGTACACTGTGGTCATAAAGGGACAGACATGACCAACAACAGTACTCGGGTAAGCTGTGGCATTTAAACAATGTTCAGTTGGTGAGGCACAATGTGTGTCAGGAAAATATCCCCACATCATTAAACCACCACTACCAGCCAGAAATTGTTGCCTCAGTTTCTTGCTCTTACAGGGTCACCCACTATGGTCTTCTGCTGTTGTAGCACATGTGCTTAAAGGTTCAGAAAGATGTGGTTTTAACAATTAGTTATTTCAGCTACTATTCCCTTTATTCACCAAAAAGGCATTTTTGCCCAGAGAATGGCTACTGTGTAGATATTTTCTCTTTTTCTGACCAATCTCTGTAAACCCTAGAGATGGTTGTGTGGAAAACCCCACTAGATCAGGAGTGTCTGAAATAACAACCACACCACATTCAGTCACCTCAGCAGGTGGTCTTGACCATATGTACATGCCTAAATGCATTGGGCTCCTGCCATGTGGCTTATTAACTGTGGTGAATGATTTTCAATCTATATTTCTTCCTTCTTCAGGAGGACAAATGTGTTTCTATGCTAATATAATCTTTAAAAAAAAAGAAACTTGTAAATTCTTGCAAATAGTTGAGCTGACAGT